ATATTATAGTTTTCCTGCTTGTTGGGGGCATTTCGCTTTAAACGGATGCCGGTATTAACGGTATAAGCTTCTGCCTCATCTCATGTATTACTTTTTCGCATAGCCAACAAGCACCTAGCTAGACTCCTCTAGTAGACTTTAAAAAAAACCTTTTTAAAAATAGTTTTTAGAAAGCACATTTTTAATGTTGCTTTTTTATCATTTTTTTTTTTATTTTAGCGCAAAAAATATCCAGAGCTTCCCGGGCAACGCACGGCATTAGTTGTATATTTATGGGCATCCGGGATACTAGAATGAACACTATCATGCTACAGGGTCGTGCTGTTATGCTCAATAGACCGTTGTCATTGCTACAGGGTCGTGCTGTTATGCTCAATAGACCGTTGTCATTGCTGTTATCCTTCGATGTACATTAAACCGTGTGTCACTCGAACAAGAACGACATGGTCGGTGGTGATACAGCACCGCCTAATAGAAACAGTACCGCAGTCTTATTGCACCCAGTTATTACAAAGGAATATTCAGTTTCCAGTTTGGGTTTGGTGTTGTGGTGATTTCTTCAGGGAAGTGTTCATGCAATCACTGATGAGCGAACACAACATGACACCACCTCGCAGAGTCTAGTAAATGTAACTTGGAATGAATTACGCGAAAGTAGATCACTCTTCAATCCACCACCAGGAGCATCTTCTTCTTTCTTTTTACGCAATAGCACAATGGCCAGCTCGCTTTACCCACCGACCAAATATTCTTTTACCGACGTCGTCATTGGTGACGTGATGGACCGTGCTGCTCCTCAGTACAGCGGAACGGAGACCAGCTTTCTTGCTGATTCTCTATCGCTGGGCTGGCCCTCAGTCACTGAGATGATATCAGCCAACCAGCACCAGTTTCCGCCTCGTGGATTCGAAGATCTGGCTACGGAAGACACCAAAGCATCGAGGCTGTTTCAAGAACGCTCCAAAACCGCTATTAGACGCGAGAAAAGCCGTCTTCACCAAGCGCGTTACAGAATAAGAAAACGTGAACATGTAAAATCCGTCACTGCCAGCGTTTGTCGACTGAGTGAAGACATTCAAATCCTCGAGGCGCGGCGACATGCCCTTGCAAATCAATCCACGTTTTGCAGCAGTGTTTGGTCCGTGGCAGGCGAGTACTTCCGACTCTTCCAGCACGGATACAAGGAATCCCTGCAAGTACCGAGTGCAGGTGATCAAACTTTGACCGCAGTAGAAGAACGACCACACCAACCTCACGCACAGATCGACTTTCTGAGAGAGACAATGGCCCACGACATGACAGACGGCGTGGTTTGTGGCGTTGAAGCGCTACTGCAAAACTGGAAACTGCTTTCATTCTATCACGGTGACGTGTATGTCCAGCTCCAGCGTCTGGATCACGTCACCAAAGACTCTCTCCAAGCAACCATAACCGTCAGTCTTACTATCACGGAAAGTACACTGCAGAATTTGTACCCACATCTTCTTGACAGTACAGCTCGAGACATCGATGACGGACAGAGGCCGTCATTAGCTGCAAAGCTGCTGAATCAACGGATTGTAGTGCATGGATCGGTGCGCTTCGACTGGGATGAAGCTAATAGTCGAGTGATGAGGTTGGAGTCCAAGCTGGATCTGTTGTCACCGATTTTGGAGCTGCTGGGTAGTCTAGAAGCCGTGGCTCTCGTGTTCAATTCAGCTTTGGTGACCCCCGAGGGGAGGTTGCTTTCGAATGACTTGTCGGCGTCGTAGGTATCGAAACAGATTGCTTTAAGTTTATCGTATCAATTATACGAAGTAGTATCTAATACATCGAAAAACATTCATTAGCTGTTACCTACTCGGCACTTAACGAAAGAATGGTGCAATTTTTGGTGAGTGGGGTGCACTATCGCCTTCTGCCACTAGCCTGCCGTCTAGGGTTATCAACGCTTCGTCAAATACGCGAACAACGCTCTCGAGATCGCCCAATAGCCTCAGCATCGCCGTCAGCAAGTCAAGCTTGGACTCCAGCCTCACGACGCGACCTGTTGTACTGTCCCAGTCAAACCACACTGATCCATGTACCACCAGACGCTGGTCCAGCAGCTTCAAAGCCAATGCCGCTTCATGTGAATCGTCGTTGACATTGACAAGATGCGGGTACAAGAACCGCAGAGTATTCTGGGTAATGGTGATACTGGTCTGAGTGGTCGCAAAGAGCGAGTCCCTCGAGACTTGCTCCAGACGCGTGAGCTCAACGTTCACGTCGCCATGGTAGAGCGAAAAGCGTCTCCAGCTCTCAAGCAACACTTCGGCTCCAATGAGGTCGCCATCGGTCACCTCCGGAGCCATAGTAGCTTTGAGAAAGTCGAGCTGTAGATGCTGCTTTGTCCTCGCGGTGGAGGTAAATAGAAGCACGTCACACGCATTATAGCCGTGGCGAAAGTGTCGAAAGTATTCGGTGGCCACTACCCACACATTTTTATCAGTCGGTGCGCTCCTCAAGACGTTGTGCTTCTGGATTTCTAGATCCTGGATCTCTTCTTTCAGCTGACGAATACTGTCGTCCAGATCTTCTGCGTGTTGTCGCTGTCTCTTTCTGTATCTGGCCTGGTTGATTCTGCATCGCTCACGGCGAGACGTCAAGATCTTCAGCTTGCGACCGCTTACAGGCGTTTGCGTTGGGCTTGGCTGTGTCTCGTCCGTAAGGGACTCAAGAGGAGGCAGACGCGTTGGAGCGATGAAGCTGCACTCGTGGTCGAAGCGACCGTGAAGTGGAGCGACGCGCTGTACGACGCCGGTGATGACCTTGTCGCTCAGTAGAGTGCAGTTGGGGGCGAATAACGGGCTGCTGTCCATGGTCGATCGAAAATGATAGTGATACACTTGCGATCTACGTGGAAGAACTGGAAGTGGCGACTCAGAACTCACTCAAAGGTGCACCATCTTCTCCAGTCGAAAGGTGCACGGTTGCGTGTGATTATGTGCGGTCATCAGCGATTATGTGCTGGACACGTACGTCAGCATCGATCGCGTGCAATTTGCGACTGAAAATTTGTATGAACGAACCCTATGGCGAGTGTTACAACAAGTTGACGGGACAACTTTCGCGGATAGCCAGGCAAGAGTAGGCGCAAACGTCCCGTCAACAGGGATAACGCTGCTCAGCACGCTTCATGACATGCCGCTGGCCACAAATCTGTAGACTGTGCTTCATGCTTTGGGTGCTAAAGACTTCTGGGTGGGGATATCAAGGCCATGTTTGGGTGCGAAGATCAAGGACATGAAAACCGCGATTGAATGGCTGAGTTCGCTTATCTACGACAAGTTAAATATCAAGTTGACGGCAGCGAGTAGACTACACTGAAGTTGTACATGTACGCGGAGCAATGCTTGGCATATCAGCCAAATTATTTTACCCAAATCCAAGGTACAACTTTTGCCATCATAGTGGTAGTGGTGAACTCTAAAGTATAAGACGCCAGCACGCATCACGTTCTCATTGTTTTCTACCGCAGAAGTGATTCCTGTCAGGAAATTATGCTAAGTCGCATCCAGCTCAGTACAAACCGCTCAGTACATACATCCCCTTCTTTAGGTTGAATTTGTTGGTAAGCATCACTTGTTTTAAAGAGTGTCAATTTTGCTTGAAGAATAGTAAAAACGCTCTATTAGTTAGTTAGAAACAATTCTACCGTCGAGGGTAAGCAGGGCGTTGTTAAACACGTAGGCTACGTCGTCCAAGCTACCGAGCAGCTTCAGCATCGGTGTCAGCATGTCAACCTTAGACTCTACTCGCATCATCCGCCCGCACGAGGCATCCCAATCAAAACGGACAGATCCGCACATGATGAGCCTCTGATTCAAGAGCTTGGTAGCCAAAGGTGAACGCTCTCCCACGAGGTGCGGGTAAACATGACGCAACGTTTTATCCGTGATAGTGGCACTAGTTGAAGTGACAGCAACGAGAGATTCTTTACCGACCTGTTCCAGACGCTTGAGTTGAAAGTACACGTCGTCATGGTGAAGCGAAATGAACTTCCATTTCTCCAGCAGCGCCTCTGCACCGCTTACCGTCCCATCCACGACGTCTGGGGTCATATATGTTTGCAGATAGTCGAGCTGCACTTGGGCCTGCTTAACAGGGAGGGGACTCGGTTTCTCGTCTGATGATGACTTAGCTGTCGCCATAGGCGTCATGTATCCGTAGCGGAACAGTCGAAAGTACTCCGTTGCCACGACCCACATGCTCTCGTTTTGCGGGGCGGACCGCATCATGTCCTGATGTTGCGTCTGCAGTTCTTGAATTTCCTCTTGCAACTCGAAAATACTTTTATCGAGTTCTTCTTCATGTTGACGTTGACGCTTCCTGTATCGTGCCTGGTTGATGCGGCACCGCTCACGTCTAGAAGCAGATACCTTCATCTTTCGTGTGGTAGTCGGGGCTGACTCCATTGTGTACTCTTCGGCGTGATACATGACCGTATCCTCTAGCGACCCCATACCCGGTAAACGCTTGTGGCCGACCAAACTCTGCGCTGGCAACTGCATCGGTTGATACGCGCCAGATTCAACGGTCGAATACGAGAGTACCTGGTCGGACGAGTACGTTTGTCTTGGCTTAGTATAACGAGAAGCCTCTCGGCTGTCATTGTCGTTGGTGAATCCGAGTCGGAAGCTGTTGTTGAGTGAATGAGCACTGGTCTGACAAACGAAACTGCTGGCCATCGTAGGTTGTTTTGTATGCACTTACGCACAATGCGTCGGATTGAAAAGTGCCAATGAGAACTCCAGTCTTACTGGAGCGCTTGGTCATCAGCGATTACGTGCTGGAGCCGTCCGTCAACAGCGATCGCGCACAACTCCAAATCATATGCTGCTGTCAACAGGGATAACGTGAGATCACGTTTCAATAAAAAGCGGGTTTTGCAGACGACAAATCCTGATTGTCGCGTCATTATGGTTTACTGAAAGCATAGAAGCACGTTATCCTTGTTGACTCCTGTCTAAAATCCGTTTTCAACACCCAGTTTTAAGTAAATTCTGACCAATGCCGAGTGCCAGTGGCACGGGATATAGTGGCTCGAGTAAGGAGCAAATTTTCAGTACTGATCAAGAACAAATCAAGTTTGGCAACGATTACGAACAGATCCAGGACAATCAATGCTCGCTCGTCGGTGGCGACAGAGAGGTTCGGGTCACAGCGAAACAACGCCATGTTTACCAACGCACTTTAAATACACAGTAGAAAAAGCAGTGAGTTCAATATCTTGCCAATGATATCTGGCTCAACCGCGGTATGCGAATACGTCGGTGTACGCACTTTCAAATGATGATACTGCACGGAGTCACTTCCCAGTACGTGTTGACAATGCCGCACAGTCCGAACTCTACATTGCCAATGCTGTACAGTACTAACGCATTCGATGAACTATTGAAAAGTCATCGGATCGTCAACACCTAGTTCGCAATCAACGCTTACTTCGCTCGGTTAACTTATAATCGCAACCTGTATTGGTGTAGGTCACTAGTTACTGGCTATTTGCTCCACATAGAATTCCAAAGTAGGAAAAAAAATACAATTTTTAATATCAGCGCTACATGTAGCTGGTAAAGTGTCGACATTTCTTTGTTGGCCTGGATTGCCGACGTACCACCTCGATATATCCACACGAAAGCGACGACAACCTGCCGTATGGTACAAGATTTTGAGATGATTCAACCCAGTCAACATTCATGCAGTTTTTTTTTTTATGATTTGAGCAATCAAAGCCATCTGAAGCTTCAGAGGAAGCGAAAGATGGAGTAAAACGCTACATGTACAGTACTTGGACCAAAACGGTGCGAAGTCTGCACTTTCACAAAACAAGCTGGATGCTAGACTCTGAGCCAAAGTCTCCTAATCAACGTAAGTCAGTTCCGGACATATGAGCGAAAGATCATCGTCAAGAAGGCAGAGATTACACCGGCAGTGGGCACTGTGAGCAGCCAGCTCAGAAAAATCTTCCCCATCATTGGAAATGACATCTTCCGCCATCCAGGATTGATGAGACTAACAAAAACGACCGAGCCAACCTCGCAGTGTGTCGTGGATACTGGCAGCTTCAGTAATGTAGCGATCACGACTGTCACGGTCGATGATAACTCCATTGCGAAGCCGCGGTGCATATCTACGTGAGAGATACGTTTACCGATTGTCTCCATGACTGGTGCACCTTGGAATATAATACCAAGACACACGAAGCAGCCAGCAATGGCCATGATCCACACTGGAGTATCGAGGTTGGAGCAACCGCCAAATCCGTTATCGTAGATGTTAAATAATGCGGCCACAGGAGCAGTAGCATTCGCAGTATCGTTGGCGCCATGGGCGAAAGATTCGAGTGTTGCCACCATGACGAGAAGGTAACGAAAAATGAACATGGCATCTTTCTCCTCCCCGGTTAGCCTGCCCATTTCGGCGAATAGATGCGCATCCGCCTCACTCATGACACTCGAGTCTGATAGACGACTGCCATCTTCGACAATAGTAGGGACCTTGTCTCCGTTGATATCTGGCGTCATGACCAACGAATGCTGCTCGTATAAGTCCTCATCGTCCTCTTCATCTTCAACCAAGAAATTTCCTGTCTTCGACGGCAATCGCTCACGGATATAAGGTACGAGAAAGATCTGCGTAATACCAGCGACTACTAAGCTACAGGCAGCACTAGCACCCGCCATGATACCTTTGTTTAGACTCTGGGTGGCTATTGCGTCGAGGAAGATCATGAAGAAGACGAAGAATGTCGACAATCCGTACAAAATTGGCACTGACCATAGTGCGTTGCGCACCTTGTGCTTGGAGCCCATGATTGTATAGTGTGTCCCCAGGTAGATGATAATCCCAGCAATGCCTGATAGCACAGGGGACGTTGCCCAAGACGACACAATGCCGGCCAGTCCATTTTCAAAGTCCCAGTTTAAACAATGCCCTCCTACGCCGATAGTCGTGACGCCAATGATGCCTCCGACGGTCGCATGTGTTGTACTCACAGGCATCGCGTAGTGAGTTACCGCAAACATGAAGAAAGCTCCACCGAATAGAGCTGCAAGCATACCGAGTGCGTAGACACTGATCTGGCTATCACAATACCCGCAAGCCCAGCAGTTTTCGTCAGAAACTTTAGCCACACCGCTCTGAATTGTGCTTGACACACCGTAGCCCAGTGTCACGGCGCCCAACCAGTTCGCCGCGCCCCCCATCAAGCATGCCGTTCTGCAGTTGATGGCTCTAGAGCCGACACTAGTACCGAACGCATTCGCAACGTCGTTGGCGCCGACCTGCCAGGCCATCCCTGCCATAACGATGAAGCCAAAGACCAGCATCCACTCAGACGACTGGAGGCTCCAGTATTTGTCATTGTAGGGAGCACAAGTTGCGTCATCGTCTTTAACCGCGCAGTCGAATATACCGACGGCACATGTTACAACTTCAGCAGACATGGTGGTGACTTAGAGAAGCCTGCAACTGCGTACAGGGAGGCGAGTTGGAGTGTGACCGGCCTTCACTGACAGCGCGCTGAGGTGACTGTACGGCCTTGTGTAACCATCAAACCATTTCGTTAGAACTTACGAACTGACCGAGATTCGTTGCGTGGGCTAAACCCCGACAAGGCGGAGACTAACGTATTGACGAGAGAAGCGTGGAGCCCGGAATCTACTTTCGAGTGATCTACTTGTGGGTATGTACCTATTCGACTGCTATATCGAATGAGTTCGTTGTAGCCGATTGATGCTCTTTTGTAGATTAATCCAGCATTTTAAGCAACTGATAATACTTCCGAAACACGTCGTTGCTAGAAATACAATTGCCTCCTACAGCATTCGTTGGAGCACTGAGCTATTCTACCATCAACGTCTAGTTACTGGAATGTAGCTCAATGGGCGAGTTGCGATAGATTCGGCGAATCTAACGATAGGAACCGGCCTTCAGGAGTTATCAGCACCTCACTAAGCAAATAGGCCACATCGATCAAGTTTCCCAGAAGGTGTAGCATCGCCGACAGCATGTCTATTATAGCTTGGTCTCCAGTCGTACCACTCGATTGCAACTGTCGTCCCAGTCGAACCGCACAGAGCCGCGCACAACCAGGCGCTGGTTTTGTAGTCTTGTGAAGCGTATCAGTGGCGTGTTGTTGCTCACTTGGTTCACAGCAATAGTTGAAAACAAATCACGCAGCGTGTTCTTGGTAATAATGAGGCAAGCCACAATAGATGTGAGCAGCGAGCTCTTACCAACTCGCACCAGACGCTTCAGTCGAAGATCCACATCCTCGAAGTAGAGTGAGAGCAATCGCCAACTCTCAAGAAGTGCACCAATGCCACACCCGACACCATCCGTCACGTCCGATATCATGTTCGCCCGCAGGAAGTCTAACTGAGTATGGTATTGCTGTGAACTTAGTGTTGGAAAGAATGGATATGCTGGATTGACACAGGCTCTTCGTAACCATGGCGAAAGAGGCGAAAGTCCAATGACTTGTTTTGGTCGACTTGTACTTTGATATGAACCGAAGACAGTGTCCCAGCTTTTGGATTTCTTCATGCAACTGGAAATACAATCGACGAAACCCACCTCGCGCCGGCGCTGTTTCTTCCTGTACCGGGCTTGGTTGATGCTTCATCGCTCGCCCCGAGATGCGTTACTCTTACGCTTCTTAGTAGCTTCTTCTACTGCTCTGGCAGCGGTTTGACTCTCCCCAAATGAGCGAAAGTTAGGGAGACACTGCGGACAGAGTGAAAACTTGGCCCTGGACACCTTTGATGCTCCGTCAGAGGATTCTTGAAAGAATAACGAGTTGTATTCGCAGTTCCGAGCACTGCGCTGTACGACGACGCCAACGATTTGGTCGCCAAGTGGGGTCCTCATTTTGAACAGTAAAGGCTATGGTACCCCCCTTCCAAATTAAAAGTCAAACATGGGTTAGGGAGATAAACAATCATAGAAAATATCCTACGCTACGGAATTGCTCCATTTTTATAAAAATTATTACGGAAACACTGGAGTCCACAATAGAATTTGTTTAGATTTATACAGGATTATAAATAGGATTATATCCAGGATCGGTAATTATGAAAAATATCTTACATGGGGTGGAAGTGCCATTTTTAAAAGCAAAGCGTGATTGGGAGTCGATGCCGAGGACGCCTGGAAGCATTCGCGATGGGGCACACGAAAGCTACAGCGGGGAAGGACAAGCTCGGCGCTGACAGCATCGCGCGACGCACGCGCAAGAGCCGGCAGGCACCCCGCGAGGACCATGCTGCGCCAGTCAACGCAGATGAAAAAAATGATGCGGCAAACGGTGACGAAGAAGACCCAGAAAACCAAAGTGGCAGCGACCAGGAGGGCGACACAAATGATAGTGACGACAATGCTGCCGGTGAGATGGGTGTCGAGGAAGTGGGGGAGGGGCCCAGTGAAGTGAAGGAGGCGGTTGGTGAAGTGGAGCAAAATGAGGAAGACGTAGATGAAGCTGGTGATGCGCACAACGCTGAAGCTGTTGATGATGAGGACAGTGCCTCGGACAGTGACTCAGCCCAATATTCAGCCCAGGGTTCAGCTTGCTCGAGGGGATCTCGTGTTGATTTGAATCAAGTGGTTGTGGTGGATCCAACTTCGTGGCACGCAGATTGGGCAGCATGGCAGAAGTATTTTGACGATTACTGCGAATAGACGATGCAAGTGATATCCATTTTGGAGACCATGGGCGTGCAGAGCGCAACAGATGTTTAACGAAGACCAAGAAAGGGCTCACCGACTAGGGTTTGGTTTCAGGGGGTCTAGATCCGTTTTAGTGTACATACATCTGCACGCACGGGTGGCCGCAGAGAAAAGCGAGGGGTTCAGGAAAACGTCCACGCCAGCATATACGGCAAACGGACGGTTTGTGGTCCAGTGGCAAAACCGCCAAGGAATTTGGCAGCTGGGGGTGAAACTGGGCAGGTTCTATCACAACCATAGCGTATTGAGAGAGACGTATGCTACGTATCCATGTGCGCGCGGCGTATCGGATGTTGTGGTTGCACCGCGTGTGGAAGGGATGCTTGCCGTTGGAGCGAAACGTTCCAAAAATTTTGACTACTTGCTGGAGCACGAACAGAACGTGATTAAAGCTGATGTGGACAATATGATGCAAGCTTTTGCGTCGTCAGTGTCGTCGCTGGACGACAAATATGCTACTGCTGCTGAAGTTGGTGCCTTGGACGCGGCTGACCCAATGAATTGTACGAGCATAGCTGAAACTGAGAACGGGGAGACTGGGGTGATTTCGTTGGGTACAGCGTGCATGCGTCAGATGTTCAGCCGCTTTGGAGAAGTCCTGTTGGTCGAATGTACGCGCAAAACTAACAGGTAAGTTATGTGATTGCCCAGGATTTATATATGATTTCAACAGGATTATTACCTTATGGTGTTGTGTGTGCCGATACAACTACCAGCTTTTAACGTTGATGACAGTGAACGATTTTGGAGAAGGTGTAGTCCAGTAGCATTCCGTTTTAGAAGCAAATGGAGACTGGCATATGGACCGAACAATTGCTCATTTTAACGAGCATAATCTGACGGTCTCAATTTGTGTGGGTGGTTGTGGTCGACAAGGATCTGAATGAAATTCGGGTATTGCAGTCACATTTTCCGGAAGCTCGCGTTTTGATTTGCCACTTCCTCGTGATAAAATACCTGAAGGAGAAACGTTCGAAGCCAGAATTTGTGAAAGTTTCTGCTGACGATGCTTCTCAAGTTGATGCAGCAGTACACAAGCTTGTGTATGCGTCTTGTCAAGACGAATATGACACAACACGAGCCTCGCTTCGCAAGATTTACTCGAGAATTGGAATTGGTGGATTTTGTGAGTACGTAACTCGTAACTGGGATTCATGTCAAGAAATGTGGGTTATACATTTGAGAGCAACGCTGCCGCACTTCCGTAATCATACAAATAACCGACTTGAAAGCTTTTTCTTTGGAAAGCTGAAGGATGTGATCAACAGTAGTATGAGCATGGCGCAATGTGTGGAGGCCTTAGTTTCGAACGACCGGTGAGTACAAGTACCGTTTGGCTCGGATCGGGCGGTTTGTGAATACCAAACTACGATGAAGAAATGGCGAACGTGTTACGGTTCACTACACACTACGTCGCTGAGCAGATCGAGCCAGAGTATGCTGCCGCATTGTATAAGGCTGACAGCTACAAGTACGAGGTGGACTCTGATGATACCGATATCGTTTTGGTGTTTGGAGCTAACAGATCGCGTCGAGTTCGTTTGTCTGATTGGAGATGCAACTTCGCTTCACCCACGCAACTCCATGCTGTCACGCAATCGCATATCGAAAGCACGTCGGCGTCGCTGGTCCACGTATACTATGGGGCTGTAGTGAGGAAAGGTTCGTCGTGATAGATTTTTACAGGATTGTTTCAGGATTATAACCGAATTTGTATATGATTGTAGATGGACAAGCCCACTAACGAAGTTGCAACTAGTGCGTCAACTTCAGTACAAGGTATTCGATGAAGATGCATCCGTTTCCAAACGTAAAAAGCCTCGCACACACGCAGAACGTTACAAGGAGGCAGTTCAAACTACACATTTGATTGCGTCTGAACTTGCAGATCTTAGTGACGAAAACGAATTCGAGGCGATGCTTATTTTCGTTCTCCAACAGTGGTGAAACGTTAGGCAAAATCAGCAGGTGTCTTCTGAGGATACAGCTCACAAACGAGAACGAGAAGAAGCCACGGAGGCGAAGGATAGTGGAAACAAAAGCCTGAAAAAAGCGACCGAAGCTCAATAGAGTGTCCCGATACAAACAATGCAAGCTCCAAAACGCAAATCTTTTCTATTCAAGTGAAGGTGCGCATCAACCCAAAGGCGCGCAAAGTGGGACGTCCGCAGATGCAGCGTAAGCCTACGGCAGCCAGCGAGAGGTCCGATCGAAAGTGGTTCAAGGCAGCTGAAAAAGGGCGAGCTACAGCTGGAGGGGATACACTAGAAGACCTAATTTATTCTCTGGACGCTGAGTAACCCGGTCTACTTGAGACGCAGCACCGGCTGTCGGGTGTGTTAACCAAATATGCACACGCCGCCGACCAGCGACCTCTGTTTCGGAAGATGCGAAATCCTGTATTAATCCTGGATCCATTCTATATCCTCCCGCCGAGCTCCTGGACCACTGCATATAAGTTCTTCCAGTTTCCAATACGAGACGTAACCCCGTGGTTGTGGAACCCATTGTGAACAACTCCGTGGGATCGTCCAGCCCCGTCGTAGAGGTGGTTCAGATTACCATGTGGGGTCATTTTCGAGAGAACAGACCCAGGTGATGAAACGAGTTGATATTTTGAAGCAAACGGTGCAGCTTGGTATCGACACGCACAAGTGATTAATCGAGCAAGCTCCCCCTGCACTTAGCGGAGTATTGTGATGAGGCGAGACAGGTTGCAGACCAAATTTGGAGCACTTATGCGATGTCGCCTATTGCGGAGCTTGATAAAGCACAAGAGTTTGTATACTCGATGCTGTACCGTGTCATACTACCCTCCTGGTTGATCGACGCAAACATTAGAGGGTTATGTGCAAGACTCACTACCGATTTCCCGACCTGTAAATTTTCTGGCGTACAAGAAGCAACTACCAAGTCGGCTCGGGCCAAAGATAACGAAGAAGTGGTTACGAAGCAAGTCATGGACCGTATTACTGCGTAATTAACGAGTTGGATGTGGATAGGTTGTTGCTGCCGTTGAATTTCGGCAACGCTCACTGGTGTTGCGTTGTGGAGAAAGTTGGGGCTAAGAGGATCTTCTACTACGACTCTTTGAACCAGAAGTGTTACATGCGTGCAGCAAAAGGAGTGGCGACGTATCTAAAGCACAATGGCTTTAATGACTTTGCTGTGGTGCCGCATAACAATCCCATTCAGTTTGATCAGTATAGCTGTGGGGTTCTCGTCTGCTGGATGTTCCTGCGCCAAGTTGTGCCTGGCTAACTCATGATATGAGCGACACCGCTCTCATCAAACGTCGTTTCGAATTATTCTACTATATGTTATCTGGACGTCCAATTGCGCCAACCAGACACGCTTCCACACCTACTCAAACCCCGACCACTAATCAAAACGACAAAGAGAAGGCACCTGCTCACGTGAATCAAGACCCCAAAAACGATGACACCCCTCCCACCCAAGTTACCGCAAGTGTAGAGCAGACAGACGTACAAGAAGCACAGTTAGGCTTGAAGCAATGATCACCTTGATGAATACATGACTTTTACTTACTCTTCAGTTTATCTTGTGGTCTTGCGCACTACATGAACCTTGAACAGATACCGTTGTGAAAGTGCCAGCAGTACCATTACTTGCAGCGTACATGCAACAGACGCCGTGGACTTTGCAGATTTGCCGATGAGTCAGTCCTGGAATAACCCCGTGAACAAACCACAGCCGTACGTTGCTTCAGAACATATCTTACCAAAGATACTATCATGATAGACAGGTTCAATATTCCTAACAAAATCCTGTACAATAATCCTGCACATTTTAGTATTATAACGTAATATAATCATGGACTTCATTACCCGCCAAATTATTAATGGTAAAAAAAAAGTTAGTTTTTCAAAATCGACAAAAGTTTATTTATTGTCACTAATTAACGCTCATGAATTGATGCCACTTGTACTCCTTGCATTCTCCAAAGTGAATAACGTATTAAGAAACCTTTCAGCAGGTTTTAGACTTTGCAAATATTCATGAATGTCCAGTCATTTGGCGATGATCAACCTTTCCAGATCGTCAGCAGCTTTTCTCACACCGGCGTCACACTAAGGACAGCGATTCAATACACTTTTGGAGGCTGCACAAATCCTGGTTTGGGCCACGATCTTGTCCTTCACGCTCGATATGATTGCAAACGTTTGCGGACAAGACATTAGGTATTGCGTAGCTGTCAAAGAGCCATTACACGTCTCGGTAAACCGTCAACAGGGATAACGTGCTTAATGTACAATCGCTATGACGTGGCACTTGCTGAAAAGTGCAGCTATACTACTACGGTTGCCGTGTCGCGAGTCGCGACTTGCATTACACTTCTACAAACACGTCGCGTTGTGTTGCTATTTTTTTTTTAACACATTAGGCGCTATGTAGTAGACCAAATGACTCGATGAAACCGAGCGAGTTGCTTGGCTTGAGACGATCTGTCCTCAACAATTGCAGCGTTAAAATACCTTGAAACGTGAACTCACGTTTCACCTGCTGGTTGTATCATCCCTGCACCTGCATAGGATCTGAAACCGGGCATTTCAGCACGCTATCGCTGTTGACGGATGTTCACGTCGGCACGTAATCGCTGATTACTGGTCCCCAAACAACTTTTAAAGGCTGGTCGTTGGTATTAGTGGTGCTTGAGTTAGTGCATCTTCTCGGGTTTGAGGAGATCCACGATATGTACCATTTCCAAATTTTCCCCACAGAAGTCAAACCGATCCGAACAATGGCTAGTAGTTTTCTCTCTCCTCCGAACAGATACACTCTAAGTGACCGAGTTATCGGTGGCGTCGTTCAACGCCGTAACCATCTTGGGCTTGCCAACGAGAATGAGACGCGGGAATTGGCGAGCTACACCAAACCGAGGCAAACCTTCTCGTTCGAGGATGTGGAGTCGTATCCAACCGAGCAGTTGCCTCCGAGAAGAACGATCGGTCAGAAACGACAGCCCGATCTCGACAATCTTGC